AGAGTGCTCACAAGCATTTTTAACAAAAAACAGAAAAATTGAAATATCTCGAAAACTTTGAATAAACCGGTATATATATTATGATTGATTATTATAGGTGACATCGAGACGAGTATTTTGAAAAAAAAAATGAAATCGGTTGGATGGTTTCCGAGATATTTGCGAAAAACGATTTAGAAACAAATGGCAATTTCTCAAAAACGGCTGAATCGATTGAGCTGAAATTTGGCACAGAGTTAGTCGTCATTAATACCTATAATCTGACAAAATTTCAGATTTTTCTAAATCATTTTAGCCGGTTGATTCTCCAATATTCTAAAAGTTGACCACCCGATGGACATCCGCACAGACACACGGGGTGGTCAAACTTCGTATTTTGACGTTTCAGACCATTCTGCATCGTTTCCAAGCAAAATTAGAAAATCTAAAAATAGAACGATTACAATGCTTCCATTCGGAAGCAATTAGAGAAAAATTTCACTTCGAATACACTTTACAAATACACTTACGCGGCTAAAAATTTAGGATTGAGCTCTCCTAAACATGTATAACAAAGGGTGAACCTGGCAGCCCAATACAATATTTAACCCGAAATACGATGATGATAGTTAGGAGCATCTCCCATATATTCATTTTTAGAATTTGCGAATTTGTTCAAGTATCGGTCGTTCCTATTATTACCCAAAACAATAATGTTCTGAAATCAATCAATGGTGGTTGACAAAAATGGGTTCGATGTCCCTTTTATCGCGTTCGAAGATGAAGACGATAATTAACGATTAGTTTTAATCCTTGTTTTGATTTATAGAATAATTTCCAAAAATTTAGAATTTTTTTAAAAAGAGAATTCTGAAAATATTTTTAGACATTTTTCTTTAAATTAATTCAATCATAACTTGAAATATTTCTTTTAATGTCACCCTGTCGAAGTTGGAAGATCATTACAATAGCTATATCCGTTGGTTCAATTTTTATAATGATGAGGCTGAAGCTGGCGGGAGCAGTTCAGCGGGAGATGGGTATAGTTTGTGAGGCGGACTGTACGGTCCCCACCGTAGCCGCTCGCTCAACGCTACATCAGTAGCCACGAGTTTAAACCTCCTCCCAGACAAATTAAATGATAAAAAACAATCAAACAATTTTTTTTTATTATTATTATTTCTTAATGTATGACGAGGGTGGGGAATGATTTCTCGAGGAGGAATTTTATGATATTTTTTTTATTTTTATAAGTTTTTACGCGGTCAATAGGGGTGCAATAAACGCATACACCAATCGATGTCATTTTATTTTTAATGTGTCCCTAAGGTGTTAGGGGACCCTGTCCAACAAAAATTATCGCGGTGCACCTATTAGGGTATTTTTAATTAATTTTTTAAGATTCATTTCTCCCAACTTCCGGTGAACAAAATGGTGATGCACGGACACGCATGCACCAACCAACCCCATTCCATTTGGAATATGTAGCTAGGGGGTTGGGGGACCCTCCCCAACAAAAATTATCGCGGTGCGCCAATTAGGGGATTTTTAATAAATTTTTCAAGATTCATTTTGTGTAACTCCCGGTGAATGCGGTGGGGGTGCACGGACACGCAT